ATAGTCCCCTGCAGGGCCAATTATGGCCGGCTTTGTGATATCCAAGTTATCATATGGGAAGTTTATGTACTCCACCCCTTTGACTAATGTAATGATAAGGGGTACTCTCTCTGTACAGCCACTCTCTCTCTCTCTCTCTCTCTTCTCTCTCTCTCTCTCCTCTCTCTCTCCGAGGGAGTTATTCTGATACCGGTGAAGGGTTCTTGATCAAAGGAATTAGTGCAATATATAACCATCTTCATCTTTTATAAATATATTTACTGTCGGGATCAGAAACAATAGTCGTATTTACAATCTGGATGAGAAACAATAGTCGTATTTACAATCTGGATGAGAAACAATAGTCGTATTTACAATCTGGATGAGAAACAATAGTCGTATTTACAATCTGGATGAGAAACAATAGTCGTATTTACAATCTGGATGAGAAACAATAGTCGTATTTACAATCTGGATGAGAAACAATAGTCGTATTTACAATCTGGATGAGAAACAATAGTCGTATTTACAATCTGGATGAGAAACAATAGTCGTATTTACAATCTGGATGAGAAACAATAGTCGTATTTACAATCTGGATGAGAAACAATAGTCGTATTTACAATCTGGATGAGAAACAATAGTCGTATTTACAATCTGGATGAGAAACAATAGTCGTATTTACAATCTGGATGAGAAACAATAGTCGTATTTACAATCTGGATGAGAAACAATAGTCGTATTTACAATCTGGATGAGAAACAATAGTCGTATTTACAATCTGGATGAGAAACAATAGTCGTATTTACAATCTGGATGAGAAACAATAGTCGTATTTACAATCTGGATGAGAAACAATAGTCGTATTTACAATCTGGATGAGAAACAATAGTCGTATTTACAATCTGGATGAGAAAACAATGGTCGTATTTACAATCTGGATGAGAAACAATAGTCGTATTTACAATCTGGATGAGAAACAATGGTCGTATTTACAATCTGGATGAGAAACAATAGTCGTATTTACAATCTGGATGAGAAACAATGGTCGTATTTACAATCTGGATGAGAAACAATAGTCGTATTTACAATCTGGATGAGAAACAATGACCGTATTTACAATCTGGATGAGAAACAATGACCGTATTTACAATCTGGATGAGAAACAATGACCGTATTTTACAATCTGGATGAGAAACAATGACCGTATTTAGAATCTGGATGAGAAACAATGACCGTATTTACAATCTGGATGAGAAACAATGACCGTATTTACAATCTGGATGAGAAACAATGACCGTATTTAGAATCTGGATGAGAAACAATGACCGTATTTACAATCTGGATGAGAAACAATGAGCGTATTTAGAATCTGGATGAGAAACAATGACCGTATTTACAATCTGGATGAGAAACAATGACCGTATTTACAATCTGGATGAGAAACAATGACCGTATTTACAATCTGGATGAGAAACAATGACCGTATTTACAATCTGGATGAGAAACAATGCAGTAACACGTAATTACAAGACTGTCCCGTATGTCATATATAAATTAATCAAACCCACGCAAAATAATAATTCTCAGAACAACACCACGAAGCTCGGATGATTCTAAGCGCACTTTTTACTTATCATAGACTCACATGTTCTTGTTCAAGACCGTCTACGCCAGACAATGCAGATTAACGTTTAATACGCAGCGCTGCACGACCCTTGTGGGCTTAGCGCTTAGTTACAATTGCAGTTATAATAATACAATTTTTGATAAGTCTAACATACTGAACGTTAGTAGAAGCTCACGTCATCTGGTGACCTCCCAGCGAGAGTCAGGCTGCCTGTACCTCGTAGTTGTGACCACCCAGCCTGTGCTGGTCACAGTGCGCTGCCTGTACCTCGTAGTTGTGACCACCCAGCCTGTGTTGGTCACAGTGTGCTGCCTGTACCTCGTAGTTGTGCCCACCCAGCCTGTGCTGGTCACAGTGCGCTGCCTGTACCTCGTAGTTGTGACCACCCAGCCTGTGTTGGTCACAGTGTGCTGCCTGTACCTCGTAGTTGTGACCACCCAGCCTGTGTTGGTCACAGTGTGCTGCCTGTACCTCGTAGTTGTGACCACCCAGCCTGTGTTGGTCACAGTGTGCTGCCTGTACCTCGTAGTTGTGACCACCCAGCCTGTGTTGGTCACAGTGTGCTGCCTGTACCTCGTAGTTGTGACCACCCAGCCTGTGTTGGTCACAGTGTGCTGCCTGTACCTCGTAGTTGTGACCACCCAGCCTGTGTTGGTCACAGTGTGCTGCCTGTACCTCGTAGTTGTGACCACCCAGCCTGTGCTGGTCACAGTGTGCTGCCTGTACCTCGTAGTTGTGACCACCCAGCCTGTGTTGGTCACAGTGTGCTGCCTGTACCTCGTAGTTGTGACCACCCAGCCTGCGCTGGTCACAGTGTGCTGCCTGTACCTCGTAGTTGTGCCCACCCAGCCTGTGCTGGTCACAGTGTGCTGCACCTCACAGTTGTGCCCACCCAGCCTGTGCTTGTCACAGTGTGCTGCACCTCGTAGTTGTACCCACCCAGCCTTTGCTGGTCACAGTGTACTGCCTGTACCTCGTAGTTGTGCCCACCCAGCCTGTGCTGGTCACAGTGCGCTGCCTGTACCTCGTAGTTGTGACCACCCAGCCTGTGTTGGTCACAGTGTGCTGCCTGTACCTCGTAGTTGTGCCCACCCAGCCTGTGTTGGTCACAGTGTGCTGCCTGTACCTCGTAGTTGTGCCCACCCAGCCTGTGCTGGTCACAGTGTGCTGCCTGTACCTCGTAGTTGTGCCCACCCAGCCTGTGCTGGTCACAGTGCTGCACCTCACAGTTGTACCCACCCAGCCTGTGCTGGTCACAGTGTGCTGCACCTCACAGTTGTACCCACCCATCCTGTGCTGGTCACAGTGTGCTGCACCTCACAGTTGTACCCACCCAGCCTGTGCTGGTCACAGTGTGCTGCCTGTACCTCGTAGTTGTGCCCACCCAGCCTGTGCTGGTCACAGTGCTGCACCTCACAGTTGTACCCACCCATCCTGTGCTGGTCACAGTGTGCTGCACCTCACAGTTGTGCCCACCCAGCCTGTGCTGGTCACAGTGTGCTGCCTGTACCTCGTAGTTGTGCCCACCCAGCCTGTGCTGGTCACAGTGCTGCACCTCACAGTTGTACCCCACCATCCTGTGCTGGTCACAGTGTGCTGCACCTCACAGTTGTACCCACCCATCCTGTGCTGGTCACAGTCTGCTGCACCTCACAGTTGTACCCACCCATCCTGTGCTGGTCACAGTGTGCTGCACCTCACAGTTGTACCCACCATCCTGTGCTGGTCACAGTGTGCTGCACCTCACAGTTGTACCCACCCATCCTGTGCTGGTCACAGTGTGCTGCACCTCACAGTTGTACCCACCCAGCCTGTGCTGGTCACAGTGTGCTGCACCTCACAGTTGTACCCACCCATCCTGTGCTGGTCACAGTGTGCTGCACCTCACAGTTGTACCCACCCATCCTGTGCTGGTCACAGTGTGCTGCACCTCACAGTTGTACCCACCCATCCTGTGCTGGTCACAGTGTGCTGCACCTCACAGTTGTACCCACCCATCCTGTGCTGGTCACAGTGTGCTGCACCTCACAGTTGTACCCACCCAGCCTGTGCTGGTCACACAGTGTTAGGTGGGGTCGCCAAGCAGTTCCACCGCCTCCCACAATGTCAGATCTATCATATAACATAAAATCAGTAGATACAGTTTCGTTTATTATAGGACGGGATGTAGACATTATTTCACCTACTGACAGTGATAGGTATCCCTCCCTACTGACAGTGATAGGTATCCCTCCCTACTGACAATGATAGGTATCCCTCCCTACTGACAGTGATAGGTATCCCTCCCTTCTTTGAACAACAGTGCTAACAAAAGAGAATAATAAAAAGCTAAAATATCACAGATGTATCTTACACCTCGCAAGCACAATTAGTTGGGTACACATACAGTCCCGCGGATGGACGGACGCACACACACACACACACTCGTACTATACATATACATATTTACAGTTATGCATAAGTTTAACCCCTCTGTGATCACAACACTGCCATGCAACATGTCAAGTTTCCGCCCATTTTATGAAACACTGACAAAATTGTTCATGGCACAACATTTTTGTAAAATTTAATGCTAGAAGGTAGTATGACCCTGAGAGAGAGGAGAGAGAGAGAGAGAGAGAGAGAGGAGAGAGAGAGAGAGAGAGAGAGAGAGAGAGAGTGGGAGGGAGAGGGAGTGTCTGCATATAATGATCAAGCATCTTATGATTGTTTCTTCAATAAGGATCAAAGAGTGGGGGAGGCTTAAATTCATTATGAAGACCATGGTATAAAAACCTGCAGAGGGAGCTGACGAAGAACTCTAATTAAAATGTCGTCAGAGCTGGCGACTGGTCGTGAGACGGGGGCAGGGGATAATAATGAAGGCAGGAAGTAATGGAGGCAGGAGAAGCTAATGGAAACAGGAGAAGGTAATGGAAATATGAAATAATGGAAGCGGGATGGTAAAAAATACGAGAGATAAAAGAGGTAGGAGGTATAAGTCAGGAGTTAGTGGAGGCCTGATGTGTAAGAGGCAGGAGGTAGTAAGAGAGGCAGGGAAGGGAAAGACACTGACTGGTCTATCTACTGTTTGACTGGTCTAATTCTTCCTCTCCGCTGGAGTTCGATAGGTCTGGTTTTTACCTAAGATGATCATTTGGACGATGAAAAACAAAGATCAGACTTTTGTGACGATGGGATTCGAGCACAATTCACCGGGCTTCATTAGCATTCACTTTAAGTGGTGAGGAGGTAAGCACGAGTATCTGCAAGAAGCTAGACTCTAGAAAGAAGCTAAGCTCTAGCAATGGGTTACGCATGTACATAAAACTAGGCTCTAGAAAGAAGCTAGGCTCTAGCAATGACTCTGGGAAGGGGGATATACTAACTAGAGAGTAGGAAGATGACTTACCTTCTTAATGGTTCCTGTGCTGGTACCCAGGAATGCAACGGTGTGAGCGGCAGCGGCTGTTGCTTGCACGCCAGTGACCAGCGTCCTGGGCAGCCGAAGAGCCGCTCGCCCCACCACAGGAGCTGGACCGGAGATCTTGAGACCCACTTCGCAGAAGGAGAGGATGTTCCCCATGGTGCCCTGCTGGGGACACTTTCCGTTGAGGATGGGGCCAGAGATGTATTCCATACTGCGGTACTTCATAGATCCGTTGAAGCACATGTGGATGTTCTCATTAAATTTGGCCTCGATGTCGTGCACGGAGTAGACGCAGACAGCAGAGGCTTTCTTTGGGCTAGCAGTGTGCCCCTGAGAGGGGGCGAAGACCCCGACCAAAAGCGGATTTCCTTCAGTCATGCCCATGCTGGTAGCCAGATCACTGCCCACACTGACCAGTTTAGCATCCTGCACCAGGTTATAGTTGGCCCCGTCGCCACCCTGGCACTCAAGCGTGATTTCCGTGTAGGAATCATAGTTGGCGTCGGAGATGCAGGCTCTGGAGATGCGACTCACGTAGCCAGATTCCTCCTGCCCTGGCAGGTGGGACTTCTTCTGCACCGTCAGGAAATACACGTAGTTGGTGGCGGTAAAACCGAAGACATACTGAACCAGGAAGTGGTCTCGTAACTTAACATCTATACGAAGAAGTGACTGCTTAGCAAAAGAAAACTCTGCGTAGTCTAAGTCAACGAGGTTTCTGGTGGAGATGGCAGGAACGTCATGACGATAGTCACCTACGGTGGTGAAGGTAGTACCTACGTACAGCACCTCCGATCCTCTCCAGGGATTGTACCTCTCAGGCCCCACGAAAGCAAACGTAGAGGCTTCCGGGTGATTGGCTGCTACGGACTTAGGGATGTAGTTCAGATGCACAGAGAGGTTTCCCAGACGATACTTGTCGCATGCGCCCTGGGATACCGACCCGCAGGCTATCACGGCACTTACAGATGGTGCCACAACTAGCAGCTTATTGTAGTTGTCTGTGGGGACTTTGATAACGTGGTCGCCGCAGCCAGAGGCGTGACAGGAGGGGGAGTCCTGCCGGGGACCCGTCACCACCTGATGCAGCGGGTGGAAGGTACCACCGTCCAGCTGGTACAGACGGTTGACAGCACCCAGGTATACATCGTCAGTTTCGGAGTCCAGTGCCAGATGTGTGAGTCCGTGGGTGTTGTTGGCGGGCGTGAACTGCGCCACCACTGCGCGCGTCACGTTGTAGGCCAGCGTCCCGGCGCTGCGGTCCCACTGCGCTTCCTCCGAGGGTTCCTGAGGAGGGCGCGACCTGCCGCCCGCCTCCGGCAGCAGGGAACCCCCGAGGACCAAATGCAGGCCGCTGAGAAGCAGGTAGAGGCGGACGGCCCGCACCGCCAGAGGATGTGCCGCTGGCGCCGCCGCCGCTGCCGCCATGGCGGCACCCAGGCGTCACTCACCGCCAGGAGATCCACGACTCGTCGCTCCCACCCATCCTGCAACGACACAAATTCTGCTTAATGACACAAACGTGCTAACACACCCACCCACAGGTGTTGCGCTCAGGAAACACTTTGTCATGTCTCTTGAAGAATCTTACCTAACCTAACCCGAGCTGCTTCACCTTCGTGGATTTAGCGCTTATGATAATATAATAATAATAATAATAATAATAATAATAATAATTCCGATGCTCTCAGTACCATCACAGGTGTAACCATGAAACAAACACAACAGCCATTAGACATGTGCAACACTTGGGTGTCATCAAGAAGAAGAAATACATTTTGTAAGAAATAACTTTTGTGAGAATACCTTTCCTTCTTAAGGTATACCTTTTTAAGGTATACCTTCTTAAGGTCTTTCTTAAGGTATACCTTTCTTAAGGAATACGCTTCTTAAAGTATATGTTTCTTAAGGAATACCTTTCTTAAGGAATACATTTCTTAAGGCATACCTTTCTTAAGGTATAATTCTCTTCAGAAATGTTTTGGGAAAGTTACAAGTCCTGTGCCTGGATGCTGGTGAAGAGCTCTTGATTCAAGGCACTGGGGGGAGCTATCCCTTCATCTTCCTGGGATCAAACCTCAGTGCATTTATTTCCCCTTTCCCTCTCCCCGGGGCGCTACATGACCCGACGAGTTTAATGCTTCCCCCTTGATCACTATAATAATAGTAATTAATAATAATAAATAACAATTATTAAATTTAACTGTTTCTTTTTACAGAAAGCGATAAACCCATGTGGGTCATTCAATTCACGTTATCTTCCTCTACAAAGCCATCTTCCCCTCTACGCACAGCTGAGAAAAGTCTCGAGGCAGGCCCGAGAGCCAGAGCTCAGCCCTCCCATAATAAATCCAGTTAGGGGGGTAATTACCACCTGGCAATTACACTCGTGCACACACAAAAAGAGAAGCCCTAGGGGAGGGGGAGGAGCAGGGGAAGGGAGGGGGAGGGGAGGGGGAAAACAGGGCCGCGATAACCCACTTCGCGAGCGTAATTTCATCGCTGCTGTCGCGTTGCAAATTGAATTTAAACCCTGCGCTATCACCCTGCAGCGGCGCCGCCAGCGTGGTCTCCTGAACCTGTCTAACAAAAGCCTTCGGGTGGATGGGGAAGGAGGTGGTGCCTTGATGAGCACGATATACCAGTCTAGCAGCACTTCCCAATAATAATAATAATAATAATAATAATAATAATAATAATAATAATAATCCTTTGTATTACGTTGAATACAGAGTTACGTTAGGTAAGGTTTGTCAGGAAACAGAACTAAGCGTTTCCTGACGGGGGTCTTTTGTGTAGTTTTAAAAATAGGTTAGATAAATACATGAGTGGGTGTGAGTTGGAACTGACTAGGTTGACTAGCTTGTGCTGCTAGGTCTGATGCAGTGCTCTTGCCTTAAGTGGAAGTGACCTGATTAGGTGGGTCATTGGGCTAAGCCGGAGGGTAACATGGACCTGCTTCGCATGGGTCAGCAGGCCTGCTGCCGTGCACCTTCTTTCTTATGACCCGCAGCTGGAGCTTTTAGCCATCTGGCCGAGGCCTTCCGCTGGCTTACCGCTCCACCCGTTTAAAAATTATAGTTATAATTATAACCACCAGTGTTTGCTGAATACAGAGTGACGACACAATATTCCCCGTGCAACAAGAGAGAGAAAACTCTCGAAACCCGTCAAAGGTAAACATTTTTGTCTTGAACACACGGCGGGGAGATATTATTATAGTATCAAACGTACGCTGGAACACTTGACTTTGTGAATTCTGATGCCATCACAGTCTGGTAGTCTGCCTTAGTATCTGGACGAGCTCTGAGTCCTTTCCAGCAGGCCAGAATTATGATACACGTCTGTAAAACACAGATAATAGTACACCTCTCTCTCTCTCTCTCTCTCTCTCTCTCTCTCTCTCCTCTCTCTCTCTCTCTCTCTCTCTCCTACACTCTATCCCATGAACAACAACGTCTGTGTCCAACACATGAATGATTCACCAGAGGCCGGATCGGGTCAAGCCTGCACCTGAACCTCTGCTTTCATAATTAAACACCCGTGTTAGCATACCAACAAGGGTGAGCTTGTTAACAGGTGTTTAAGTGGTGAATAATCCCGCCCTGGTGCAAGATGTTGCCGGCCAGGGTTCTGACGCATGAGAGCAAGAACTAGTGGAGTGCTTGATGCAACTGTGTCACAACCTTGGTGACGCATTACTGGACAAGTGACATAAATATGGTGATAATTTTTCTGTATCCTTCCCCACTTCTTCTTCCTCCTCCTCCTCATCCTATTCCCCCTCCTCCTCCTGTCTCATCCCTTCCCCTTGTCTACCTCACACACTCCTCGGTCCAGCCCTCGCAGCCGCTCGTCCTGAGCTTGTCAACACCTCAGCTGAAGAAAGCCATTAAAACTAACACACTATGGTAATCCGGACTCTTCGAGGGGAACAACTTTAGCGGATTAACTAACTCAACTGATTGAAGTCGTTATTAATCTCTTACTGCTTCTTTCTATCTTTCATTCTTTCTTTCTCCTCCTCCTTCCTTCCCCCTTACTCCTCCAGTTCCTCCTATGAAAGAGGAGAGGAGGAGGAGGAAAAAAGTGGGAATGTTCTGCCTCTTGTCACAATTTCAACTACATTTTCCCTTTTTTTTTCGTAGTCGCCGCCTCCTCTTCCTCCTCTTTCTCTCCCTCTTCTTCCTCTTCCTCCTTCTCAGAGGAGGAGGGAGAGGAGGAGTATTCTGGCTCTTCTGCCACAATCTTGGCCTCAACTTCCTTGATCAGGGAAATGGAGCGTGTGATCTCTAAACGGGGACATGCAAAGCTGGAATGGAAGGTGGGGAAAGGGCAGAGAGAGGGGTGGAAGAGGGGGAGAAATTGACAGGGAAAGTGATGCATAGCGAGAGAGTAATGCCAGAAAGGTGAGAAATATTTACTAAAAACTGTAAACGACTTTCAACAGTTACTCCAGCACGAGTGGGAGTTGAACTAATCTTGCCATCAGTGCTAATTCAGCCAACAAATTCCCTAGTTAAAAGCAACATAATTAGATAATCTTCCCACCTTTTTTTTTTTTTTTGCAAATATACAGGGACTAAAAACGTAATTTTAAAAATTGCTTTCATAAGTGACCACCACGCAAACTAATGCACTCTTCGGGGCTTTCACAGAAACCCACATCAAACATTTTATATACAGTGAAGTCGTTATATAAAATATCAACAGGATATTAACAACTCGCAGAGTTGTTAATATCCTGGGAGATGGCAGAAGTTCTAGTAAGAAAAGTGGAGGCCAAAAACCTGGTAATTATCCTCGTGTACAAAACTCCATTAGCAACAGCAGAGAAATTCGGTAAATTAAATCATGTAGTTAGCGGCCTGAAAAATCTTGAAAATCATACGGTAATTATCCTTTGATATATCTTTGATATACCTTGCCTTTGATGGGCTTCGAGAGTCTTTCTACTTCCGGAGCCCGGCCATGGCCAGGCTCGTTTGGTGCTAGCCTGGTCAACCAAACTATTTGGAGATTTCAACCTCTCAAATGTATATCGGAGGATTTTAAACATCACTGTATCCGAAATAGCATCTTGGTAACTCCAGTGAAAAGCAGGAGCGCCATAGGCACAATAAGAAACACTGTTTCAGCGTCAGGGGGCCAGGACTCTTCACCCTGTTACCATCAGGTATAAATACTGATGGAGCAAATGTATGAGTCTTCATGAAGAAACTGGATCACCACGGCCGCCAAGTGCCAGATGAACCAAGCTGTGATGGCCATGTGGACCAACGGGCCGCTGACAGCAACAGCCTGGTTGAACAAGCCTGACCTGAAGAAGGGGTGCAAGGGTAGCAAAACCCTCTATACTACCTACGAGTAAACATCTGCGTGTTTCTGCTGCTGCTGCTGCTGTCAGTAGTGTTACTTTATACTTGTTGCCGTTGCTACTACTGTTGCCGTTGCTACTACTGTTGCCGTTGCTACTACTGTTGCCGTTGCTACTACTGTTGCCGTTGCTACTACTGTTGCTGTTGCTGCTGTGTGATGGGGAGGAAGTAAGGATGGGGGAGAAAGTAAGGATGGGGGAGAAAGTAAGGATGGGGAGGAAGTAAGGATGGGGGAGGAAGTGGTAAGGATGGGGAAGAGGTGGAGACTAGGATTATCACTTTAATGGGGAAAACGCTAAACGCGTAAGGGTCACACAGCGCTTGGGAAATGGAAAGTAATCAGGTTTGATCCATGGAAGGGAGAGATTAGCTCCAATACCTTGCATCAGGATCCCTTCCTTAGCAACACCCTCGACGGCTGCTGAAGATAGGAAATGAGAAAAGTGGACGGGGAGATGAGAACGGTGTGAGTAAAGGAAAATGAGAAAGGTGTGAGTGGAGGAAATGAAAAAGGTGTGAGTGAAGGAAATGAAAAAGGTGTGAGTGGAGGAAATGAGAAAAGTGTGAGTTAATGGAAAAGTGTGAGTTGAGGAAATGAAAAAGTGTGGTAAGGAATGAGAAAGTGTAAAATATTAATAAAAAAAGCTAGCTTTTTCATGTCACCTGTGTGTCACCTGTAGTGTCACCTGCGTGCACCTGCTGTCACTGTGTGTCACCTGTTGTCACCTAATAAGTCACCTTTGTGTCACCTTGTCATGTGTCCACCTGTGTGTCACCTGTGTGTCACCTGTGTGTCACCTGTGTTACCTGTGTGTCACCTGTGTGTCACCTGTGTGTCACCTGTGTGTCACCTGTGTGTCACCTGTGTGTCACCTGTGTGTCACCTGTGTGTCACCGTGACATCTGGACTCCAAGGTCACCAAAGGTTGAAGAGGTGACAGAGGTGTGAGAGAAACATTTTCTGTAGCGACTCTGTCTCTCTCTCACCAAGAACCTGGTGCTACCCTACCCCATACCTCGGATCAAACCTCATTGCCTTCCACTCTCCCAGGTGTTATGGGTTTAGCGCTTTCCCATTAATGTAATAATAATATAATCATGGATATATTCCACCTGTTCACCCTCATATTCCACCTGTTCACCCTCATATTCCACTTGTTCACCCTCATATTCCACTTGTTCACCCTCTATTCCACTGTTCACCCTCGTATTCCACCTGTTCACCCTCGTATTCCACTTGTTCACCCTCATATTCCACTTGTTCACCCTCATATTCCACTTGTTCACCCTCGTATTCCACCTGTTCACCCTCGTA